AAAGATAACATCCTTAGAAACCCTGTGGAGCAGTTCCACTCTGTCCTCTAGGGCCACTGTGAATTAGAATTGACTCCAGGGCAGTGGGTGTGGTTTGGGCTTTGCTTCTGTGAAGACTGACAGCCTTGGAGACCCTGTGGGCAGTTTCACTCTGTCCTCTAGGGGCGCTGTGGGTTGGTGTTGACTCATCCCACAGTAGCTGTTTCTTCCCCCTTTAGAACATAAGCTCCATTTGGGCAGGGATTCATGCTTTGTTCCTGCTGTGTCCGGTGTTGAGAACAGTGCTTTGCTCCTGGGCAGTCCATGGTGGCTATTGAATGAGTGATTGAAGCATTTATTGAGTCCTTACTCTGCGGTGCGTCTGTGGAAACAGGAAGCAGACCCTTCTCTGGAGAGCACTTCTTGTACTGTGCTGGAACCCATGGCAGACACTCACAGGGTGTGCACGGTCATTACGTGAGGCGTCAGGCAGACAGTGTTTGTCCACAGGTCGGGAAGCGTGCTGGGGGCCTCGGGCCCTGCCTGGGTTCAGGGCCGCGGTTGCGGCTTCTCTGGCTGTGGACCCTGCCGACTGCATTCACGGCAAGTGCCGGCCGAATGAGGGAGAGTTCCGGGTGGCCAGGTTTTCTGGAAAGAAGTGAAAAATAAATAGAAGTAAGAATAGGGCCTTAAACTTGAAGAGAATGAACTGAACTGGATTTCAGAGAGCTGACTTTGGCCTTGTTGCCTCGTCCTGTCCTGGGTCTTGTCTAATCACAGTGCCCCCTTGTCCCATTAGGTGGTGGTTCAACATGTTCATTTCGATGGACTTGGGAGGACTAAAGATGACATCATCATGTATGAAATTGGAGATGTTTTTAAGGCCAAAAACCTTATTGATGTAAGTATTACCTCCACTTGGAGTTCTTTTCTTCTCTTCCAAGGAGCCACTTGGTGTCCCTGTCTTCTCAAACCTCTGTGTTCACCGCCCCTGGCTTCTGTACTGATGATGACGTGGCCATCACCTCCCACCACATCCGCCAGTCCCTGGGCCTCCTTCAGACTCATGCGTGTTTGCACCCTCCCTTAGCTCCTGTCTGTGTCTCAGAGGGGGTCGTCTCTGCCCTCTCTTCCAAGACCAGCCATCCCTGTGCTCCTCAGAACTACCCCTGCCTCCTTCCCCAGGCCCCGCACTCACTGCCCCCCACTGCTCCCCACCAGCAGGGCGCTGCCTATGCCCCCTCCAGCCACTCTGTTGTTCACCAGTCTCTTGCCTGGATCACCACCCTTTCTCCTCTGGGCTCCCCGCCTTTGGAACCACGTTGAACGTGCTGGACAAGGTCACCAGCTGCGTCCTCACAGCCAGGTCTAGCTGGCTCCTTTCTGCCCTCATTTCACTTGACCTTTCACCAGGGCTTGGCACTGTTGACCACTCCCACTTGAAAAAAGAAAGCTGTATTTTTTCTTAAAAGATTAAAAAAGTGTGATCATGGTAAAATGAACACACACACACGCATGCACACTTGTGTGTATATGTATGTATGTGAATCAAGTGGTGAAAAGAATATGCATGAACCACACACCTCTGCCACCCACTGGCCTGTCCCCATCCCTGTCTCCAGAGATAACTGAGACCAATGGCTTCTGATGCATCCTTCCAGATATTTCAGACACACATATGAACACGTGTGTCCTTAACAGGAATTGTTTTCCACATTTCCTCTCCATCTTCCACGGCTGACGTTGTACATCACCACGGAGGTCTTCCCGTCAGCACAGGGCAGCCTGCTGTGACTGCATGGCCCGCACGGCCCACCGCGTGGACTCCCAGCACCTGCTGTAAACGCTCCCTCCTGAGGGACGTTTGCGTCTGGGGTGCACTGCTCCTGCAGACAGTGCTGCAGCGAGCGTCTTTGTATCTCTCTGTACACTCGGGAGGTCACCTGTGGGATGGATCCCTGGGCCAAGGGCAGGTGCTTCCTGC